AAGAAAAATCTGTTGAGACTATTAAGCAGTTGTTCACTAGTGAGCCACTCTGCTGTTAGAAAGCAATTTTGTAATCAAACAGCTAGGGAAACATTGAGTAAAGCCCCCACAAGCAGGTTTTTGAAGATAGTCTTCTGTAGGTGGTAAGTGCTTCATATGAAAAAAAATCTGCTTCTAAAGGACTTTACCCACCTCGGGAAGGTGATCTCTGGAGCGGCTGAATAACATGTCAGTCGTATCTTTAAATATAGCTTGTACAGGTGGCCCTCAGGTCATGTCCTAGTGAAGTAAAACTACCTTTTACAAAGTTTATTACTCCTGAATTAAATTTACTGGCAGGCTGTTGGCCACCCCCAGTACTACATAAGAACAAGGAGCTATAAAATTGTTTTCAGATCACTTTTCCTGTGTTCCCACAGCCAGGGTATTCCAATATTCATACACACTTGCAGAATGTATACACTTTGTTAACATGCAACTTTTGCATTCAGAAGCAGCAAATTAAATTTGTCTGAGCAGAATTGCTATGTGCATGGAGGGGAAAAGTAATTTCTACCCAGGCAGTTCCCCTTTGCCTCCTGCTCCCAGCACAGACTGCTATAATAGGAATGGAGCTGAGGATGGTAGTGGAAACTCAAGAAGAGACAGACTTAAGACACTGGGATCTGGCAGCATGGGTTTGTAAACAAAGTGACACAAATTGGCACCGAAATTCCAGTGGGACAAGGGAGGAGCCTGGAAGATGAAACACAGCACAAAGCCGAGTCCCATCCAGATGGTGTTTCTAATAAATTTATCAGATGCATATGAAAGATGGTAATGAACATTCTGAATGGAAAGTGGCCCCATCCCTCTAGGGAGGACGACTTGGCACCTTCCCTGTGCCGCAGCCAAGTAGGACTGCTCTCTGATATTTCCCAGCACAAAGACTTTGGAACATATTGCAACCATTACATATTAGGCAGGCCAAATAGGTGGGCTGAGGCTTGGGTTCTAGGAGAAGGATTAATAATCCAAGTATTTTTTTGCTGAAATGGAGGAAGTGTTCCAGTGGTGACATTCAGTACAAACCTCTTCTGTTACAATTCCTACAGTGTGCTTAAAGAAGACAGGTAAAAAAGACCTTTTGTGTTCCTCTAAACCATACTGTAACCTTCATTCCTCCCTTCCTTCTTGCCCCCTGAAACTGTTTCTCTGTCCAAAATATCTTACTGTACTGTGAGTGACCAAACTTTATGTGGGACAGATTTTGAGAAGCTGCAAGGGCAGAAGGCTGTGCGTGCTCAGACAGCAGCTCTTCTGCTGAGGGCGACGATTTGTTCTGTTCTGTTTCTTCCCCCAAGTTGAGGTCAAACCCCAGAGATTGATCATACTTCACTTTTCTAAGAAAACTTTCACTGAGAAAGCAATATTTTTTTTCTGCTTTATTCAGTAACTTTAGATTTCTGTGGCTTTGGGTAGGGACGTGTGCTAAGCAAGGTGAAGTACCGCAGCCTCACATTGTATCATTCTACCTCTGAGTCACTCAGCAAATATTTATTGAGCACTTACTATATGCTGGGCATTGTTCCTTTACATAGAATACAGCAGTGGGGGAAGAAATCAAAGTTCTTGTCCTTATGAGTTCACATCCCATATCATTGATTGTCAGGTTAGTCCAGGCTTACATGCTGATTACATCATCATCCACTGAGGCAGGTCCAGATACTGTCCTCATCATCCTCCACGTACTGGCTTCATTTGTTCATTGTACTGTTCTCTTGATCCACACCAGAAAACAGGAATGAGAAGTAAGAATGTTGACAGTCTTTTGATGGTGTACTTTAAGAAGCAGATGGTGGAGTTGATGGCCGAGTTGCTGGTAGAGTTCTAGCATAAAGCCATCTCCTAAAAAGAAGCATGACACTTGGGGTAGATTGCATTGGTACTTAGTCGGTCCCCATGTGCATCTGTAAGGTGTGTCTGTGTGTTCTATGTTGGTCTTCTCTAGATCTTTGGTTAATAAGCATTAATGAATAATATAATCAAGACCAAGATAAATCAGTGGCATGTGTTATTCTTTAGCAGAGATACTTGCTAAGAAGGCAGAATTCTTTAACATACCATTTATGTTATACCGTGTTAAGATTCTAGAGGGGCCAGGCATGGTGATGCATACCTTTAGTCCCAATACTAGGGAGGCAGAGGCAGGTGAATCTCTGTGTGAAATCAAGGCCAGCCTGGTCTACATAGTGAATACCAGACCAGCTGGGGCTTTGTCTGAAAATTAAAAAAATAAAGGAATTGTAAATGTCTGTCCCATCCTTTCTTCACAGCTTGAAAACAAATGAGTACTGGTCTTGTGATAGTCTCTGATGCTCATGTACTAATTGAATCAGATTATATTATCTAGGGACAAAAATTTGAGGCAGTAAAATATAACATAGGTGGAAATTGACATAGTCTCAAGGCAATAAGACAATTGTTGTCTGTGGAGGATATCAGCATTTAAAATAGTCATCTGGGGAGCTGGAGAGATGGCTCAGCAGTGAAGAACACTGGCTGTTCTTCCAGAGGTTCCCAGCACCCACGTGGTGGATATCAACCATCCGTAAGTCCAGTTCCAAGGGATTTGACGCCCTCTTCTGGCCTTGCATGACATGGGTGCACTTGCAAACATATATGCAGGCGAAACATTCATACACATAAAATAAAGATAATATTTTTTAAAAATTAAATAAAATAATCATCTGGGGGATATTATTTCAGAGACTTAACATCTTTCTGGTTTTATAAATGGTGTTAGTATAAGAAAAAAAAATTAAATGTTCCCCTGTGTACAAGAGCCCATGAGCATCATACATGTAAGGTCTGGAGAGCAGAAACACTGATATACTCATCAGGAAATAGAACATGACCAAAACTGTGAAGCCCTTGCATGTCCCTCTAGGATCATTCCCATGTCTTCCTACCCAAGGGTCACACTAGGTAAATCTCCAGTCTTCGGTTCCCTAGCTTTCCACAGATGTTCATCTTCAGATCTGAGCAGGATAAGCGTCATCTATCATGAGTATAAATGTATAGGTACATACATATTTACATATTCCTTCCTTAAAAGTCTTACCCAGGAGCTTAAAAGACACTTGTAATGGCAAAGAAAAAACTGATTAACAATCTAAATGTCCCTGGATAGACAATTAGATATGTACATTTTGGAATAGTCATAGATGAAAATACTTTATATACTTAAAACAGATAACCAGATTTATCTGTCCATTAACTAACCTTCATCCTGGCTTAATGTCTGTGTTAGATGTGAACACTCCATATTGTCTCCCGAACACCTGTCTTGTGCACACAGCAGGACAACTTTTTCCATCCTCCTTAATCTCTTTGAGGTTGGGCAAGGTCATATGACTTGCATTGGCCAATGAGGTGTGAGCAAAGGGACTACCTCCCTTTTGGTAGCAACATTTTAAGAGCCAGTTTCTTGTTCCCTGTCTTTTCACTACTGTAGTGCAAGTCCCATCGCTGGGACCTCTGAGTGATGCAGTCAGCAGAGCTACCTGGAAGACTGACTACAGCATCTGGGTAGGAAGTGAATGTGCTGTCAGGCTTCTGAGGAGCTGCAGCTGTGTGTCCCTGTGGGGTGCCATGCAGCATCTTTTCTGCTGGCCTGCTCCCTGTGCTGTGCATATTGTTCTGTTCCTTGAATCCTCACTTCCAGATCACAGAAGACTCCTTTTTTCAGGGAATGGGGTACCAGGTAAACCCTCCAAAAGAGAATCCTCCTCCTGTTTTGTTAAGAGTCATGGGAAGCTTCTCTCTGAGCCCTTTTTCTGCCAGGAACCTGCCCTTACAAGTAATTTCACCAGTGTTTTGCAGTTAGGCTTCATAGTCAAGGGATTCACCCCCAGAAAAACCTTTCTCTCCCCTCCTTACCCTGCCTTTCATATCTGCGGACGACCTTCCTTACTTGCAGAGAACAAAGCAGTTTGTGAAGGACGTGGGATGAAGGCTTCAGGACAGGCTTGTCCCACTTTGGGAATCAATACATTGCTTAGAAGATTACATGTAAGATCATTTCCTCCATCACTGAAGTTAGGAGTGTTTTGGTGTGGTGGTAGTATTGCTCACTTTCTTTTCAGAGTGTGTGACACTGAGAAGCATTTCACGTTAACATTGTAGGTTTTGGTTAAATATCTTAAAGTCTAAAGAAAATTGTAACCTGATTGAACAACATGAATGCACAGATCAGGCCCAGGGGCTTAAAATGCCTTTTATCACCTTCCTCTTAGTGTTTAGAGAGTCTCTGTCATCTTGAGCAACCATCATTTTGTGGAACCCTTGACTTCCATAAATGAACAGGTTGGCATGGACTTAAGTATAGAGAGCGACTCAGAATCAAAACACGGCTGTTTTTTCTAGATACAGCAGCTTCTGAACAAAGAAAGAGCAGCTGTTACAGTGACAAAACAGTAAACAAACAAAAGCGGGATCCAGGCCTTCTGAAAAGGGATTGGTACCATGTCCTGGATCTCTTCCCTGTGCTAGGAATGCTGAAATTGTGGATTTATACACTTTCTAATCCACATGTATGTAGCTGTACCTCATTAATCTCAAGTGCTGGCCAGTGTAGCTCAGTGACATAGGGTCTGCTTAGCATGTGCAAGACCCCAGGCTCAGCCGCCAAAACCAGAAAATCTGAATTGTTGACAGCTTCCCTTTGTAGTGAGATTTTACATGTATTTACACATTTTATCATCCTGTTTCTTCATAATGAAATACTGGAGAATTAACTGTTCCATGTGATTTAGACTGCTTCAACCTGAACTTCAGTTCTTTTCTTTTTTAAAATTATTTACATGGAAACCCTTGTCTTAAGACAATAATGGAGATGTTCTAGTTCCCTTCTTATTGTTGATTTGAGATGATAATTAATTAATTTTGTTCCAAGCATGCTATTGGGATATATTTGGCTTCTCCTAGGCTGATAGCACATATCATGTTTGGATTCACAGTTCCCATGGAGAATGTTGCAACGATTGCTGATTGTGCCAGCGTGATTGAAGGAGTTAGTCGGAGCCGAAATGCCTTGCTGAATGGGGACACAAAGAATTATGACTGGGATTCTGGCTACACATGTCACCAGCTAGGCAGTGGTGCCATTGTGGTTCAGCTGGCACAGCCGTACATGATTGGGTCAATACGGTAAGATTCTTTGCATTCATGACTTCCAAAAGCAATAATTACTAAATGATATTTTAGTAAAATGGTGACCTCAATAGCTTCACTGAAGAAACTCTGCTGTTCTTTATCTTAAATCTTGGGGGCAGGGCAGTGAGGTGGCAGGTGCCCATTTGGATTTTCTAGTGGGGAGATACACTAAAATTAGACCCTTTGCCGGGCGTGGTGGTACACGCCTTTAATCCCAGCACTCAGGAGGCAGAGGCAGGAGGATCTCTGTGAGTTTAAGGCCAGCCTGGTCTACATAGTGAGTTCCAGGACAGCTGGGGCTACAGGGAGAACCTGTCTCAAAAAGACCAAAAAAAAAAAAAAAATGGACCCTTTGTCGGGGTACTGGATGTAAGGCTCTTTCTGGTTGGCTTGCTCCTCCAGCCTTATCTTATGCTGATTGGACACTTACCAGATGATATCAAGAGATGTGAATTGGGTGAAAAATGGTTTTCACCTTTGATAAATGACTTTCTGTTGAACCAAACAGGTCCAAATGTGAAACGCGGATCTAGGAAATCTTAGTGACTTGTGTCTTGAGTTTCCTGTTCCATTTCCTTTTGTTTTAAGAAAGGAGCTTTAGCCGGGCGTGGTATCACACGCCTGTAATCCCAGCACTTGGGAGTTCTAGGACAGCCTGGTCTACATAGTGAGTTCCAGGACAGCTGGGGCTACAGGGAGACCCTGTCTCAAAAAGCCAAAAAAAAAAAAAAAAAGAAAGGAAGGAGCTTTGTCTTTCCCTGACCTACAGGATTATGTTAAGTATGAGACTGGCGATGACTCTAGAAAGAACACAATAACTCTAGAAAGTACACTGTTCCCAAGGCCATTTGGCCTCAGGTAGGCCTGTTCTTTTCCATGTCTCCCCTCCCCTCCCCTCCCTTGGTTCTAAGAAGGCCTCTGAAGGGCTCATGTGTCTACCTGTGGTAGAGAGAGGTGTTGGCAGTTGTGACTACCTCCCATAGTGCTTTACCACACTTGTCTTGCATTTTCCCATTCTCATCTTAGACAATCTGAATAGAGAACCAGCACAGGAAACAAGACAGCAGCAGCAGCTGATGGGCACAGGCCTCTTGGCTGTTGGATTAATAACCACAGATCAGTGGTGGTTAGGACTTCCCAGCTGTGGTGAGGCATTGATGGTGGAATTTAGACTGTTAGATTCCTTTATTTCATTTAACCCCTTTTCATCCAGAGCCATACCCTAGGCCAAGTATCAAAGGAGACGGGGAAGCCTGAGGGTTAACGCACAGGCCAGATGTTCTTAGGAACAGGGAGGACACCAGCCTCACCGTCTCCATCAGCTGCCAGAGCAGATGAACTTCTGTCACACCACAAGCCACATTCTTGCCTTTTTCTTAGCTGTGTACGTTCACTAAAGTACTCCAGCCATCTCCCAAAGAAGCATTTCTGGACCCTTTTTCACAGAAAATGTGAACTATGTATCTCCATTATAGCCTTTCCCACTTCACTTTGCAAATCCCACAACAGTTGTCTTTCTTCTGTCTTCTGCACTCTGTCACCTCTACAATTTCTTGAAGATTACCAATCGTGCATCTGAGATTACATCTGCAATTTCTTCCAGCCGGCTTGGGGTGTGATTCCTCTGAGCTAGACAACTTGAAATCATTTAAATTGACTAGATACTCTTTCCCTTCACCTATCTGGGACTTCAATTTACCCTTTATTATGTTTGTTCTGCCATTTCTAATTTGAAGACCAGTCTTCTTGCCAATGAAGATTGAAGCAAACAGGCAGCTTAGTACCTCAGCCCACTTTCCTTTAATGGCCTCTGACTCCCATTCACTCACCTGGCACTGCACACCCTTCCCCCTCACCCCACCATCTAACCCTGTCCATCTCAAACTAAGCCAGCTAAAATGAAATCCCATTGCCCACCCCTTCTCTTTCCATATACCTCACCTCATGACTGCTGTCTCTTCTGTAGCTCGATAGGCCTTTGCCCGAGCCATGACCATGACGCCCTTCCTACGTCTTCTCCCTCTTTTATCTGGCCCCTGCTGCTGGCCAGTCAGCCCTAAGTGCTGCCCCTGGAGACCTCCCCTTTCTACCTTCCCACAGCGTTCCCCAAGTGACCCCTTTGTTGTGTCACCTCTCCTTTTTACCACCCCATCCTTCACTCCATTCTTCCAAAGCCAGTGTGGTAGGCCCAGAAGAAAGCACTGGATGACTCTTGATGACCTCTGTACAGCCTGATCTCTCGAGTGCTCTAGGCTGCCAACTGTATACGTGCCATCCGTCCATCTGAGTTCTGTCCTGCTTGGCCCCATTCCTTCGAATCTTAGCTCGTGCTGTTGTGTTGCTCCCACCTCATTACTCCCCATTTCCTTGGCTCTTTGCTGTTCAGGCTTCACCATGGAAACACTTCCCCAGCCTCCCCTCATCTCCTGGGCTCACCAAGACCCCCTTCAAGCATCTGTACTCTGGGGAGAACTCCTGTCACAGCCTTTTTCTATGTGATTATTTACTTGCAGACCCCTCCCAGCCTCACCTGCTATTTGAGGCCCAGGGCAACTCAGAGTAAGCTTTTCTTGTCAGGATGAATATGCCATGAGGTTGTCAGGACAGAAGCAGAAATTATAGCCGGTACACGAGGGAATTTATACTTTTAGATCCAGCAGGGACCCTCTGAGGTCATTGCCAGGGTGACAGCTCAAACAAACAAATAAGCTTGTCATGGGCCAGGGCCACCTTGCCTCTAACTCAACCAAACACTTGGATTCTGACTCTGACTCCAGAAAAGTGTGTCACTCGGGCTATAGGCAGAGAGAACAGGCCCACCTGGTCTGCTCTAAACATGGAATGAAAATGGTTCCCCCCAAATTTCTCTTTTCTTGACTCAGGAGAGAGAATGAGCAGGCACACAACCCAAGGCAGAATGTCCATCTCAGCACAGTGTGGAGCCTCTAACTTCCTGAAGCCTAGCTATTGTCTGTTCAATGAGAAAATATATGCAGCTGAAGCTCTGTGTAACTAGCTGAGCGTTCAGAGAGACACGTCTCAGTGAAACTAACATTATGTTGTCAGGAACTGCTTTTGCCTCTTCTGTGACATTATTAAGAGGAAAGGGAGGGAGGTTTCCTGGCCACTAGTGCCGGTAGGACAACGCTGGGTATCTTGGCAGGCTGTAGTTATAGCAGTTGATGTGCCCAGATAGACATTTATTGATATGAAACTAGATCAGTGGCAGCTCTTCCTGGGGATGGGTAATTGACCAGTGACAGGTTGATTAGTCAGTGGCATTTGACCCACAGCCTCTATTGGTTGTGATGACTTACTTACATTCCTAGTCACTGTGTCTGTAGCTACCCAGTGACTTGGAATCAACACCTACAGGGCAAGTGTTCCAAAGCTAAGACTCGCTCTCCCCAGCAGGGTGGGTGCAGAGCTGTGAATCTGGAAACTCAGCTCCCCTTGTCAAGTAGGCTTTGAAAATCCATATTTCTTTGCTGTTAGTGACTTCATAGGATAAGGACTCCCTTGTTGACGTTCTTAATCCTAAGAGGAGGCGTAGTGTGTTACAGATAAGCTTTCTTTCCTGAGAGCTTGCCATGTGGCTGGGCAAGCAAGCAGAGCCAGTTTTCCTGACAGAAATTGCTTGGGCAGCACCAGACGTAGCAAAACCCATTCTTTCTAGTGTGTCTAGCTCTAGGGAGTAAGTACCCTGTGAGTGTAGCTCTCAGGGTATAGCTCTAAATATGACCACTGATCTTTCTGTCCCTTTGTTTTCTTTCATTCATTCAACAAACACTGCTTGTTTTCTCGGTGCCTAGTTCTCTGGTACACACTGAGGATACAGCATTGAGTAAACCAGCTAACCGTTAGTGTCCTGGAGCTGACCTTTCAGCAGAGATACAACCAGGAAATAGCATTATTGTGTTATGCTAGTGCTTAGAAATCCTGTAAGGAGATCAGGAGAAAACGGGGGTGCGGTGGGGGGGGCAGTTAAATTTCAGGCTGGGTGGTCAGGGAAGGTTCACTGAACAGGGGGCCATGTGAATAGACCTGAAAGATGGGAAAAGCAAGATCCCAGAGATCCAGGTTGAACACCACAGACCAAGGGCCTAAAGAGCCAAGGGCCTAAAGTGGGTGGGGGAAGCAGCGGCGAGGCCTGGGAGAGATTGGAGTGACAGCCCCGAGATGCTTTGCTACTATCTCTAATTAACAGCCATTTCCCCAAACCACCTTCTCCCCGCCCACCACCACACTCCCACCCCAGGCTTCCTGAGTGCCATTAGAGGAGGGGAGAGAGGGATGGGAGGCCTCCCACTTGCCCTCAGAGGTGCCTTCTCTCATCCACACCCCCACCTCCCACCCCACCCTCCACCCCCATGCTCCAGTCAGCTCCTTGAAAAGTCGGCCTTCTGCTTCCTCCCTTTGCTAGGACACTGCTCTGCCCTTTGCATCTTTCCCTTCCCAAGGCAGCGCAACTGGAAACAAAGGAGTCTGTCCTTACTGTTGCTAGGTAATGGCACAGCAGAGTTTACTCATTTTATTTTAGAGAAAAAGAGAAATTACCTAGAATGTGCCTTAAAAGTGAGTAATTGAGTAATAATTATATAATTTCTGTGCCATTTTAGAAACATTAAAATTTAAATAACAGGAAATCTGCAGAGGCTTGACCACATAAAAAGACCAGGCTAGAGTCATAATAACTAACCAAATCTATCTGCCTTAGTTTATAGGTCCTCTGTCACCTTAGTTTAAGACTGATTATTTTTTCCCTTGCTGGTAGTGATATCCTTTTAAGTGTTCTCAGACTGGGATGGGAAATCAAATGCCCTGTGCAGTGAGTACACAGATCACCCAGTCTTTCTAGCTAATAGGTGACAGCACTTTTTTGAAATCCTAATTATAAGATAGTCAATTAAATTAACAATTTTTACATTAGGTTGGACAGAATGGTTTTGTAATTGATCTGAGCAGTAGTGTAAGGGAAGTGCCCATGATGCTTT